GAATTACAATCATCCTATGTACAATGTGTTAACATTTTAAGACTTCTGAAAGATTGATTTAAGACATTTTAAGGCTAATTAAGGCCTTATTTTAGGATTGATGAATTCAATGACTTTTAAAGACTTTAAGGATCTGCAGGAACCCTGATAAAAAAGAAAATAGGGATGCACGATACATTGGCATTAACATCGGTATCAGCCGATGCTAGTCATTTTTTAGAATATGGTATTCGGTCCGATAAAACTGGGCTGATATTGATTTCCCAATTTTTAGCTTTGTGCTTCTGTTTTGAGAGGGTAAATGGGTGGTCGAGTGGTAGTTGTTGGATCATGAAGTACAGAGCCATGTCAGCGGTCTGGTGGGTTTTTTAGGGTATCGAAAAATGACACGTTTGTGTTTGTTCGTAATATCAGTAAATATCAGTTATCGGCCAAAACTGGAATAATAATATTGAATATTGATATCGGATGAAATATTCATATCGATGCATCCATGAAAGGAAACACGTACTCAGGTTCCAGAACAATAAATGCAAGCAAAAAAAATAACTTGAATAACTTTCGAATACAAACAACAGCACACTCAACATGAACACAAAAAAGGTAAGATCAKTCCAGGTTCATTGTCAGCAGGATGGCAGCAGGACTTTAAGGTTGTATTCACACCTGATAGTCCGGTAGACTCGGTTCGATTGGGGACTAAAACTGCAAGCTTTGTTTACATTTTCTGTTGGTGCGGTTTGAATTCACACTGCACTTTCTCAACCGAACTAAACCCTGTTAACAACTTATTCCCGCCCTCACCTGTGGGGGCGCTGCACCAAGAACCACTAAAGGAATCAACATGAAAACCTCAGAAGAAGACATGGAGCRCAACTTCCTTCTTCATAAAATGTAAACAAACAATAGTAACTTTACATTTTAGTGGTTATAGGGTTTATTTTTTGTTTTTGGCTCAGCATGAGAGGAAGATGAGGCGGAACCACGGAGAATGTTGTTTTGCACACAAGKCGGCTGAGGAAGCTCCGTGTTAACCGAGCAGAAGCACGTCCAGCTCCACAGTCATGATGTCCATCTTATACAGTCGTCCAGCGAGGYATTTACACCATATAAGTACATTTATTACTGTTATTACTCAGAATGTCATGCAGTATAGTCCGCTTCCTGCTTTTGAAGCGGTCTCTGGTCCACTTAGCGTTCACACATGCAATCGAACCGCACCAGAGTTCGTTTCAATCGTAACGAGACCTAGGCTTTCAGGCGGACCAGAGTTCGCTTTTTGGGTCCGAATCAGAGTTCGATTACGTGTTCACACCTCCCCAAAC